GGTGTGAAATTACAAGCTGTCCTGTAAGCTTACAGATACAGAAAAAATGCTATAAGGCTGCTTATATGAAGCTTGCAGTGGACAAGGTTGTTGTAAATGCTCAAAGGCATGTTCATGGATATGGTAATATTGCATCAATAATATGGTGATATCACATCAATAATACAGTAATTAATGTTAATGGTAATATCACATCAATATAGGAAAAACAAGTAAAAATCACAGAAAATGTCATTTATTCTACCTCTACATCATCTACAATGAAAGAGGAGGACGTCAGAGTACTGTTAGTAATGGATGAGTACACTCTGCATGCTTCAAATGTTTTAAAATGAAGTTTTATTCCAAGTGTCCCGAGTAGCCCCGTTCGACAGGGCTACTTGGGACACTCTTTATTTTGCTTCTGGCACCTTACAAATAGCATATGGAATTTTTTTGGAAAAGCCATGTGATAGCCATTGCAAAGAGCTTTGAAATGAGCCTAAACTTGTTTATGAAATGTTTCATTTTAAGAAGTTATGAATGAAAACGTTCAAAATCGTTAAGTACTGGTACTAAATAGTACCGGTTGACGGTACTATTTAACAATACCAATTTTTTTAATACCAATTAATTCTTATTAAATTATTACAAACTTACATGCAACATAATGATTGAAAACATTTATCTGAATTCCAAAATATTGCCATATTGATGTTAAAATGTTATAAGGGGGCCTACTGTACTCAAGCAGGCCTCTGATAGCATTCTGATGATTTGCCATTTAATTTAGCCTTTTTCTTGGCCATTAGTCTATGAATATTTCCCGTTTGTATTTATGATGGCCGTGTGGACTTACAATGACGGTGTAGACTTAATTTTCAGCAAGCATTTTAAACCTTTAAAAATTGCAATTCAATGCATCCTCGGACATTGCTGCTCCCAATGTTGAGTCTGTAAAACATCACTTGGGCTCATGCATAATAAAATCTATTCACTGATGCATCTCTGAAAGGTATACAACCGGCAAATGTCTAATTACAAATACCTCTAGTAAAATTCTACTTGATTTCAACTTGTCTAATTAAGTTTTCATAAAATGTTTACTACTATACGCTGATGTCATATTGAATTATTGATATTATTGCAAATTATTAATTGTAAGGGGTACTGAATTCATATATTCATTCATACCCGTAGGGGAAGACTAACCCTGTTTTTCTGCTGATCATATTATGAGGTAGTACAAGATATTGGTAGTAGTTGGCTGTGCAAAGAAAGTACCAGAATATTCATTTCAAAACTCACGATGGGTAGGCGCTGAAGTAGGCAATCTTTGACAGTTTTATGGCAGGTCCCCAAATTCAGTGACCAACCAGGCATCTCAAAAAATTTGATACTGAAAAATATCATTCCTGAATATCATTATTCAATATCATTTCTGAAAATCATTCCTGAGTTATGTCTTTATGATGTTGTCTTCATCACAACATCAGTAAGTTACATCTAATTTGACATTAATTTCTTGCACAGATTGCAACGTTTTTTTTATTTCATGAGCTTGTTCAGCTTCTAATATTTAAAATTAATAACAGCTTTCTGAGCAGTCATATACTAGTTTAGATTTTTAATGAGTTTAATCAAAGGTGGCATAAAATTTTGACAGGACAAATTGTTGAAATTTGACTCCATGCCAGTAAATGTGTGAGAACAACCATAAATTATTTGAACTAAAGTTTATTCTCAAAGTTACATATGAACTTGGTTTCAAAGATGGGAATGTAATAATATGGTTATACAAACTCTTTCCATTATACTTTGATAAATAATCTATAGTATAGCTATAAATATTTGAATTCCTGCCAAAATTGAACCTAAGCCAAGAGAGAGGAACAAAAAGAATAAATCATCGTTTCCAGAAAATTCTAGCCTCAACCTGGTGCCTGATGGTCTGAGAGTGACTCATATCAAACTTAGTGTACAAGTGACATGTGACATGAGATGTGAAGGAGCCTCCGTCCGGTAGCGATCCAGGCTTTGTCTTTGCTGTGCTTTCATCGCTTTGTACAGTACTAAGTATCCACTCCATTGCAACTTGAGACTTGCACTGGCACTGGATTGCAGTACTATCTGCACTAAGTAATTTTTTTACTTAAGAATTTATTTGTGTTTTAAATGTTAGACTGTTAGTTCCTATAACTATAACTTTGTAATAAGCCTTTCGAATGAACCATGATGCATTTGAAAATCTTGGTATATGGTTTTTGGTATATTCATGCTACCGTCAAATAGATAATAGGGGACAGGCGGGGTAAATCAGGACAGTCGTCTCACATTTCATAGAAATGTTGTAGCAGCTAAACAAATCAAAATATTGCAGAACTAAAAATAGTGGCATGAAGTTCAACATTTTTAAGACACTTCTCTTTAAGGGGAGCATATCGGTCAAAATCAAGAATTTTGACTTCTCTGGTTTCTAGTCTCATCTTAAAGTTGACATTCTGACCTATCCAACGGTACAAAAACCATCTCTGTACATTGATTTGTGCTTTCACGACAGATCCCGAGGGGTGGGGCAGGATGGAATTCTAAAATTGACTGTTCATATAATATTCCCGATACATCTAGATCCCTTTTTTGGTCCAACAACGTTGTTTGAGGCAAAAAAATGAAATTTCTAAAAGGCCTAAAACACATATGGGTATGCTAAGTTTCTATAAGATAATCACTTCAAAGCTGCGTCCCTGCAGCTTTCACTCAACAATTAAAATTATAAAAAGTACCATCAAACAGGGTAAAAAGGGACAGTCCTCCAACATTTCAAAGAAATGTTTTAGCAGCTAAACTAATCAAAATATTGCAAAATTAAAAATAGTGGCGTAAAGTTCAACATTTTTAATATCTATGCAGCATAAAACAAGTTGAGAAATCATACATTTATTACCTCTAAAAAATCCCTGAAGAAAGTGTGAAAAGTGAGATTTGGGAAAAGTACCTCTGCTAAGGTCTGTAGCTGAGAAAATATTTGTTGTATTGAAAAATCTTACTTACATAAAAGTTTCACACTGGTGTTGGTTTAAAAACTGGATTGACAGAATGTGCATATCTCATTCCAAGAAAAAATGGCAGCCATTTCTGCAAAACAGGGTAATAAGAGACACCCCCTGGGGTAATAAGGCACACCCCTAAAACTGCATTTACTGTAGGGCCTTGGTTAGCAAAGGCTCCAGTTGATGGAAAAATCAATTAACAATAAAGATATTTGATTACATTTACCTTGCCCTGTGAAAAAAATTTCACTTAACAAAAAATTACTGCATCAGTCATTACAAAAATGTGCATAGAATGTCATAGATAGAATTGAGCACTGGGCAACAAAGAATGAAAATAATAACCCAAATTATGATTTGTTTCTCCAAAAAATGATGGTTGTCACTAAAATATTCCTTCCTGTTTCAGGTATGTTTTTAACAATCTTTTTTGTTATAGTAAAATCACTCGACTCGATTAAAAGTATGCAAAATTACAAGCCATCCTGTAAGCTTACAGATACAGAAGAAATACTATATAGATACTGATATGAAGCTTGCAGTAGACAAGGTTGTTGTCAATGCTCAATGGCATGCCCATGGATATGCAAATATCACATCAATAATACAATAATATGGGAATGTATGGATAAGGTAATATTATATCAATAAAGAAAATACAAGTAAAAATCACAGAAAATGCCATTTATTCTACATTTACATCTTCTACAAAGGAATAAGAAGACTTCAGAGTACTGTTAGTAATGGATGAGTACACTCTGCATGATTCAAATGTTTTGAAATTGAGTTTTAAATAAGTGTCCCTTATTACCACATTCCCAGATTGATTTGTGATCCTTTTATGTTAAGTCTAGCACCTTGCAAATGGCATATGGAATTTTTTTGGAGACCCCATATGATAGCCCTTGAAAAGATCTTTAAAATGAGCCCAAACTCATTTATGAAATGTTTCATGGTAAAAAGTTATTACCAAAAAAGGCTCAAAACTGTCCTTTATTACCCCGTTTGACGGTATACATATCTTCTATGTAAAATATATATTTAAAGGAGTATTTCACTAATAATATTTAACTTTATAAGTATCATGGGTATTTTGGAAACATGAATGACAAGATTTGGATGTCGAAATTAAATTAATTGTCAAACTTAGGCTCTGCAGGGCTAACCTGCTAGTTGTGCATAAAAACTAATAATGTGGTTGGGCCAGAAAATCTTTGTCACTAGAAGAGGCTGTTTGGCTCGTGGACAATGTTAATGAAAGTTCACTATTTTGAGTCATTAATGCGGACTTCTTAGAGTCTGCAAGACAATGCTAAGATAGTCTTATTGTTATTAAAATCCCTTTTGTTTAGGTATACTCTCAACTTCGAAACTTAACCTCAAAATTTTCGAGAACTGCTTTTTCTTTTGAAGAACATGACCTTTACTTTTGCAATAATTGGGTATCTGTTGAAAAAATATGTATATAACCAATTAACACTGTATTATGGGAACTGACATGGCTTTAAATTTTTATTAAACCTTAGTTTATGTTGGAGATAATGCTAGGCATTTTCTACCAACTTTTCACTCTTTAGCATGACTTGAAATATACCCACTACATTATCACTGTGCTTTGAGATACTGAGATGAAAATAAAAACAAAGTGCATAATTAATAACCTTTATCAAATATAGCTGGCTATTTACTATGCCTAAATGTATATTGCATGCAAAATTCTTGGCTAATTTATCATTATTTCTATTTGTGTATTTTGTGGTTCATTTAAACTAGAGCCTATTCTGCATAATAGGTCTGACTCTGGTCAATTCAACTGTGTGTTAAATTGTTGATGAAGAATGATTAAATTAATCAAATTCACATTCAACTGTGTGTTAAATTGGTGATGAAGTATGAAGAAGTATACACATGAGTATGTGATTTCATAGCTCATTTTGATAACGTGTTTACAAACTTTCATTTCTATTTCAGGCTAAGGAAGTGCTAGCAAAAGAAGGCAATGTTCAGGAGGTCAAGAGCCCAGTCACAGTGTGTGGTGATGTCCATGGTCAGTTCCATGATCTCATGGAACTCTTCAAGATTGGTGGTCGTTCCCCTGACACCAACTATCTCTTTATGGGAGACTATGTTGACAGAGGCTACTACTCTGTTGAGACTGTCACCTTACTAGTCACACTCAAGGTACTTTTATAATATAAACGTACTCATATGGTCATTCAAAATATCTGCAAGATGTTATGATTTGTTTACATTATCACTCAACTTTTTTTACTCCAAGCATACTTTGCAGTGTCATAAGCAAGTGGATTTACAGTGGTTGACATTAGGTAAAACGTTTTTGATGGCTATTGTTTGTTGTTTTTCATTTATGATGATAAATATAACATTCTCTGCAGGTACGCTTCCGTGAAAGAATAACAATTTTGCGAGGAAACCACGAGTCACGTCAGATCACTCAGGTCTATGGTTTCTACGATGAATGCCTGCGCAAGTATGGCAATGCAAATGTGTGGAAGTACTTCACTGATCTTTTTGACTACCTTCCCCTTACTGCACTTGTTGATGGACAAATTTTCTGCCTACACGGCGGCTTATCACCATCCATTGACACTCTGGACCACATCAGGGCGCTAGACAGGCTGCAGGAGGTGCCACATGAGGCGAGTCATAGTTGGTATTTATTTTGTATGAATATTTTGTTTACCAATCCATCTTCAAAATCCTAGTACACTAACGTTTAAATGAAATTGTGATCAATGAACAAATTTTTCATCATTTGTGTGCAGTTTTTGTTTTATAGTGACACTGTACAATAATTTATTGACAACTTTTTGCTCTGATATAATTTGAATACCTCGTTACAGGGCCCTATGTGTGATCTTCTGTGGTCTGACCCTGATGATCGTGGTGGCTGGGGCATCTCCCCTCGAGGTGCTGGCTATACATTTGGCCAGGACATCAGTGAAACTTTCAACCACTCCAATGGTCTGACGCTTGTGTCGCGAGCTCACCAGCTTGTCATGGAGGGCTATAATTGGTGTCATGAACGTAACGTCGTCACCATCTTCTCGGCCCCAAACTACTGCTACAGATGCGGCAACCAAGCGGCCATCATGGAACTTGATGACTCTCTCAAATATTCATTGTGAGTTATGCAACCACTGGTAAAGGATAATTACTTTTTAGAATTGTTTTTAAGTTGTAAACTTTTGAAAGCTCCTACTTATCACTAGTACTTGAGCTTCACCACGAGTCCACTCATTTCAAAGCTATTTTCATCACATATATCACTTGATGCTAGGTGACATTGGAATGTCGTGACATCCTTGTAATGATTCCCACTTTTGTTCCAGCTTGCAGTTCGATCCAGCTCCCCGGAGGGGCGAGCCTCACGTCACTCGGCGCACTCCGGATTACTTCCTCTAAATTCGACAACCATTCTCCTTCATGCCTCCATTGGCAGTCTAGTAGCAAACGCGTTTGTCACCAACATCACATTACAGATGCTTTTATCGACGATATTTGCTACGTGCTTGTTTGCTCTGTATTGCTAGATGTTTCTTGGACGTTGCTGTCAGCATGTCATCAGCTACACGATATTGTGAAAAAATGAAGCCATTTGCGTCAATCAACGCCGGAACGTGTCTCATATTTAGGATAGTCTTTCGTGAAACCCTAATATTTCCCTTCGTAGTCTCTCCTAAGTAGTTGACAGTTTTTCTGTAGGAAGCTCATTGTGCGCGGACGATATTTGTTGATTTTTTCATACGTATCTTATTCTCATGTGTCAATGAGCTTGGTTAGCTTTTTGATTTACATTTGCATGACGCCTGAAATAACGCGCCTGATAAAAATTCTTCATTGTGGGTATTTTTTACTAATTCCAAATTGGTAACAAATATTTGGTGCATTTATGTTGCAAGTTTTTTTCTTTTGGGGGGGGGCAGCACTGCACTGCAGCATTTTTTAGGACAAGTACCTCGAGTTTTTGAAGAAGGTTCTACAACTTTATGCGTCGTGATACTGTCCAAGGGTCCTGATGCAGTGTCATTGGGCGAACATTATTTTCGAAGCATTTGGGTTTAAGGAAATGAGCATTATTCGACGCAGGCGCAACAAGACGATTCTGTCTAGTAAAATTATTAAATTGCTGTAGTGAATGTCCCACCGGGTTCAGGGATTGCCTCTGTCCTTTAATGGTCTACTCGTGTTGATGATTTATATGCGTTTGTAGTAGTTAATAAAAATTCTTATCCCATGTCACGACCGACTTCATTTGATGTTTGAAGAATTTGATTCTTCTGATGCGATCTGGGTGTTGAATCGCAATTAAATTGTTTTCGTTCACAGGATTTTAATTCGAGTAAAAGGATCGCCTATTTTATTTAGGTAGGCAATATAGACCTAGTTCTTCCCGTGTCAACGCTTGAAATTTCATGTAATTAATGTTTGTAAAGTGATATGTATGCGGCTGTAAGGTTCCAGTTCAAATCATTTCCTTTTCAGTTCGCAAACTTTGGGTAAGACAAGATCATGATGCGTTGGTAATTACTTGGGTAATAAATGTCAGGTTGCTCTACGTGGCTGCCTTAAATGTAATAGTTTGGATTGTCTGACAGCAGGTTTGATAATCACTGTTAACAGAAGATAATTTAGATCGTTCAACTAACTGTGGCTAAGTTATGTTTATATACTTGATTTTCATACGAATTAATACGGCTCTGTTAAATTGCTTACACGAATTTTTGCTGTGGCATAAGTTTTAGTGACTTGTTCACCACCATGAATATGGATGGATAATTATGAAGCAGGCACTAGGCTGAGCCGTATATTCGTCACGTTGATCATTTACCTTCGAATGAGTGAGAAGTGAACTGTATTCATGTAAATGTCTAATGAATAACGTATTAAAAAACAACTTTGCTTCGCTATTGGATATGTTTCGGATTTTTTTTTTTTCAAATAAACCATATAATCACTAAATGAGTTTCTTTGTCTGCGATGTTTTTGAGAGTGCCCTGGAATATCGAATACCGTATCACATTGAATGTCAGTTGTATTTTGCGGTATCATAATAGTTCTATGAATATTGCAGTTGGCCAGTTCCTGCAGCTGTATCCAGCCTGACTCACTTTTCATGACACTCCTTTTCAGGGTCATCACGCTCCAAATCCTCTAATTTTAACACCTCGACCGCCAGACTGACCTAGTCTAGAACCGACCATCGCTGTACGTATTGCGGTGTTTCTGCCAGACTACCACGATTGCCATCAATCCAGGCCTTCATTGAGTTACAGTCTTGGAGTTAGGCGGGTGGCCCAGTCACCAGTGGTTAAAATTCAGAGTACCAAGATTGGAGCAGAGAGGTGCGGGTTCTATCCCAGCTCTGTGCGCCAGTTTCTAGTCAGACTCGGCAAGGAGGCCGGGCGGTTAAGCAAAGAAACTTTGAAGCAGTAAGTTGCGAGTTCAAGCTCGCAACAAGCTGTGGATGTTCTACAATGTAAAAAATCGGCGACAGGCCCACGGCCTAATATACGTTGAAACCGCTACACACTTGCAAGCTGAAAACGATGAAGTGCAGAATACGTGGCGAACAATGGATCGATCGAATGCTGTGGAGAATCGGATGATTCCACAATTTTAGAAGCTGACGCTGTAATGGAATATCACCATATTTAACCGGTGTCAAAAGAACAACAACTTTTAAAATTATATTGAATCTAGAAACTTTAAACATAGCGTTTGAGACCACTCGTCTCTTGACAATAAAACTTAACTTCTTTAATATTAATTCACTATTTCAAACAATCGTCAGATCTGAAAAGATTCGGTCAAATGACACAATTTTAGATCTTCTATGAACAAGTCACGAAAAGTAAAAAGAATCGGCGACAGGCTACATCAGGCCTACTCTTCAACGCCGACATCACCATGTTATGTTATATTGAATCAAGATGAGGGTATTAGTTTGCGTCTCGGACAAATTTGGACTCGGACATCCCGCGGCCGGTCTCGCGGTCGCCGGACTGCAAACATAGAAAAAAACTAGCCAATCAACGAAAACCTCGCAGGTTAGGTCCAGTTAAGAACAGGTTCCAATAAAAACACAAAAAAAAAACTAGAAAACCCCATAAAAACACTAAGAAAACCTTTCTGGCCGCGGGTCCGGTCATAAATTTGTCCGAGACCTGAACTCAGAGAGGATATATACGTTGTTTCAGTGCTTAATTTTTCAACGTCTGCGTGGGGAACTCATTGAAGCATACAAGTATACTCATGGCTTATACAAGATCACAGAAGGATTACTAGAATTTGAAACAAGAACCAACACCAGAGTCCACGGCTCTAAACTAAAAAAAAATGCGCTGTAACACATCCATGCGACAGAATTTCTTCTCGCTTCGAGTCACCGACATGTGGAACAGCCTCCCTGATAGCATCGTTGACGCTCCGAGTATGAACGCGTTCAATAACAGACTAGACGAAGCTATGCAGGAGCATATGTTCAGTCTTAAAATGCCTAGCAAATTACGGACCAGGCAATAAGTCCAGCAGCTATCTCAATCAATCGTCGGTTATGGAAAGATCGGGTTCCAAAGGCCAGATCCCTTCTGAATCAAGTCACGAAAAATTCAGGAATCGGCAACAGGCCATGGGCCTATTTCTTCGGTGCCGACACTTCTATTCTATTCTATGAGAACCGTTATTTGAACTCCTGCTAAATTTGCGGAATACGTTCAGCCGCGGCATTCCATTGATCAGTCGTTCGCCACTTCGGCCGCTCGGCGTCTTCAGCCTTTAGGTATTACACGCCTTCGGAGAAAGTCAGTTGCGTTCACGGCGAAAGCACGTGTGTTAAATTGCGTTCTCTAAAGTAACCGGTGATTCATTGTGAGCCAAACTTAATACTTATCATATCGACACCTAATAAATATAATTTTCAGTGAATTCAGTCTGCTCCTGGAAAAACTCAACTGGCTTTCTCCCTCAATAATACAAGTTTTCAACAAAGAGTTGTGCTCAGGCTGGGAGGTGTGATATATTCATACCCGAAGTCTTAAAATCAATTATAAAAAAAAAAAAAAAATTACACGCCTTCATTCATTTTGAATGAATTCAAATTGTTAAATTTACGCTTGATTTTTTTATAGAAGTAACCATGCATTGAATTTCACAATGTCAGCTTCCGTGTAAACTGTAATTGCGGTTGCTATTGCAATAAATCTGTTGATCAATAGATGCAGTTGCAAAGATGCTGATGACCCCATAGGTATTCTCGACCGTTCAGCATTATTTCATCTCTCGTGTTCTAGCACGCTAGCTTTGTTTCGTTCTTGCTTTGTCAGGTCTTGGGAGCTGGACTGGATTTCTGCATTGGCTGTTGAGGGGAAGGGACTTCATCTTGCTTCTGTGCGGACTGATTTGTCCCCTGTTCCATTGATTGTCATGAGAATTTTCTCCTGGCTGGCAATGCGGCCAATGCCTGGCGCCTGGCATGCACACAGTACCGCATGCTGCATGGAGCATCAGATGCTGATCAATAGTACTCAAGCCGGAGTCAAGCCTTGCCCTTGGGTGTCCAGCATCCATATGTTCAGATAGGTACTTCTTGGAGGAGGCAACTTTTGCAGAAATTTTCAGCATGCAATAATAAGAGCAACAATCATCTATTTAACACAGACAAATTGCCTGGCTTCAAGAAAAAAGCGTTTATAAAGAAAGAGGCATTTTCTGCATTTATGATTTATCAGGGAATAGGCGTTAATCAAGAATATCAAGAAAGCGGCATTTGTTTTTAGGGGGGTGCTAGAGAGTAGAGTAGAGATTCACTGGGAAGTCAAAGGGGGTGCCAGCATGAAAATTTTGGGAACAACTGGTGTAGTGCACCAAAATGCCACTGTGCAGTGAGTGAACGAAGATTTAAAGACCTACGGCGACGCATTATCGGCAAAATTTTCGCCTTCAGAAGATCTTGCCGACACATTTAGATTGAAATTCTTGCATTTAATATATTTCTCAGTCATCAGCCAACTATTTAGAAAAAAAGTAAGGTTTCCGGTATGTTGGATGGATTACGATGCAGCGAAGCTTGTCTGGAAATCAGTTGCGATGAGTTCCCGCAAAAAATGTAAACAACATTTTTTCGATTGCGTAGTTTTGGTCGTATTAGAGCGGTCAGACTGCTTTATTACTTGTTCAGTTGACACTTGCTGTACAACCGGACTGTTTTTAGGGTAAAATTAGTTATTTGGGGTAACACATGCATGCAACCTTGTAATAAGTTTGTGGCTTGTAAATAATTTGTCATTACTCAGCGTAAATGGCTTTTCATTAAAAATTACCCGGCGACGCATCTTTAAAATGGCCGGCGATGCTTTGGGCTTAAAAATCCATATATTGCCGACGCTGCATCCACCCTCTGCATAGTGGCCAAAATGTGTTGAGTAAAAATCGGCCATAGGCCATGAATGCCTCTGAATGGTGTACCCCAGCTTCCCCTGGGGTGCAGAGTTTGCAAGCTGCGTCACCAAGTTACAAATTTTCAGCCCTCAATGACGCCAGCCATTTTCAAGATGCATTGCCAAGTAATTTTCAATAAGAAATGCTTAAAATGCTTCTAACAATTTTGAGAGTATATCCCTTACTCTCCAGTCTCCATGCACAGATGCACTGCAACACTTACACTCATGGCAACTGATTTCTGAACAAGCTTCACTGCATTCTGTTCCATCCAACGTTCCAGAAACCCTACTGTGTGCGCTTGCAGTTTTTCAGATTTTGAACTATTTTCTAAATAGTTGGCCAAAGACTGGCAAATATTGGAAATGCAATAATTTCAATTCAAATGTTTCAGCAAGATTTTCTGAAGGTGTAAATTTTGCTGCTGATGTGTTGCCTAAGATCTTGCAATATTCACCCACTTTTTGCACCCTGGGCCTGGGGTGTACCAGTCCTGAAGTTAAATTGTCTATATGCAGCTACAAGCAGAGAAAACATCTACCTTTAGCCTTTTAGGGCCGTGACTAGAGGTTTCCTGCCATTTCCAGAACCACAAGATTTCTGCCAGATGAATTACCTCCTATCCGATTGTTAACAAAAGTGCACAATTGGGCTGTGAGATTCTAAATGTATTGAAAATTTGTCTTCTTGTAGCCTCAAAATTTCAGAAACAAGTAGGAAAATTCCAATTCTGTGTGGCTACATGCTGACACAATGTATCCTCTTGCAACCCTGCTATAAATGCATGCATATTATTGTTTGTGCCTGGGAGTCATTTGATTCCCACGCACTATTGTCTGTAAAGGAGTCATTTGATTCTTGCATTGTCTCCAACTTTACACAAGTGTGCAAAATTTCTGATTGATAGGATAAGTAGAAGTGTGTTAAGTTTTTATTATAAGATTTGTAGCAGACACACAAATAAGAAGTGAAGTTAAAGAGAAGTGTTGTAAAAACAAGTACAAATCATGGAAAACGTAATTTATTCTATACGTTTCTACATCATCTACAAATGAAGAGGAAGACTTTAGAGTACTGTTAGTAATGCGTAGATGAGGACACAGCATGCTTCAAACGTTTAAATATTAAGTTTTATTTCAAGTGTCCAGATTACCCTTTTCCCAGGGATAATTCAGGGTGCTTTTTTTGCTTTTGGCACCTTACAAATAGCATATGGAATTTTTTTGGAGATGCCACATGATAGGCCTTGCAAAGTCTTTTAAAATGAGCCCAAATTTGTTTAGGAAATGATTCATGGCAAGAAGTTGTCAACATATAAAATTGTCCCTTATTACCCTGTTTGACAGTATGTTGCTCCATTCATCACATGCCGACATAGAACTCTTTCAACTGGTGTGATAAATTTGTAATTTTCCATGACATGAATTTAGTTTGCCAAAATTTTAAATTTTAATAATTACAAAATTTTGATTTATTGGCTTATTTTTTTACTTAATCTCAGTTATGCTCTTTTCTCAATTCAAAATAAATTTCAAGCTAAAATACTATAAGGTAATGAGATGCCCTGCAACACCTTTCAATGCACTGTGGTTATATTTGTAGAATTTTTGCTGATTTGATTGACAAGTTGACAGCATAAAATCAGATTAGCTTGACATACAATGCTCAAGCATTGTAAAAATAGCAACATTGTTATATATTTTGACATATTGCTCACAGTGAGAAGCCTGCTATGTAGCTGCTATGTCAGACAAGCAAAATCTTTTGTTATATTCCGCTTGTGAAGATAAAATTTATTGTTACTCTTTAATTCAAATATTTGGTGTTGATTTTTTAGGTTCTGTGCTAGTGAGGCACATAGAGATTAGTTTTCCATTTATGCAAATTGTCCGCAATCCACTTGTCTTGTAGTTCCTTTGCTTCAGTCAAATTTGTCTTGAATCAATGTACAAAAGAATGGATTAGTTGAATTTGATTTTGAATCCAATTCTGTGATTTTTTATTATAATGTGCCTTCAGGAATATTTGGGTTAGTATGCAATATTTGTATAAAATATATCTATCTCCTATATATATATAATTGTTTTGTGGTTTTCAGATGATAATGATTCAAAATTTTATGTACTAAAATTGTTTTAGAAAAAAATTAGCCTCATTTTATTGCATGATGTCTAATAAGAGTGTGAAGAGAAGGGAAGGACTCAAGCCTGCAAATGATTCTTCAACATCTGGCAAAGAAAAAGTAAATGCTATGGCTCTTAATTCTAAAGAAACCAACATTGTTGTCCTGCCCTCAGTGTCTGAAATAAATACTAATAATGATGAATCCTGTATTGAAAATTTTAAGAGTGATAAAAAATGTTGTTGTGTGAAAGTGAGCACTGTTTCCATTGGTACTCAAACGTGTGCTGTCACTCAAAGTGAACCTGAAGAACATTTAAATGTCTCCTTAGATGTTTCTATAAGAGCAAACAACCTGGTAGAGAAACTTATGAAAATTGTTGATGATGATGAAAATAATGGTGCTGACAATGATGCTGCTAGTAAACCAATTAAGCAATTGACTGAGAATGAGCAGGCTGAACTCACACCTCAATGCCCCTCCAACAGTCTCTCTGCAACCTTGATGCATCATCAGCCTTGTGAATTGAGTGGTAATATGAGTTTGGAGAATGGCCTTCCAGAAGCTATCACAGCAGTTCACACTGAATCGCATGAAGCAACTAGTGCTAATACAGAAGAGATTCATATTGATGAGTCTTGGCTGCAAGAACTTGATTCTATTGCATCAGTGGATGAAATTTGTACCTCTGCTAATAAATCTGAAAATTTAATACTTGATTCATCAGTAGTGCCTACTAAGCTTGTGCCAAAATGTAAGGTATCTGTAATGGTATCAAAACCTCTTAGAAACGTGTGTGATATTAGCAATGGAGTGAGTGTGGAAAAACAGCCTCATTGTAAAGAAGGATTTATGAATAAGAGGAAAGCTGGAAGACCTTCTCTTGCTTCGGAGAAAGTTCTTCTGGAAAAGTCTCACAATGACAAAATGACCATGTTTGTTGATCCTAAAGCTAAACTAGTTGATAACCATGTTGAGGGCTCAAAAGTTGCTAATGTAAACAAACAGCCAACTATAAAAAACAAAAAGAATAAACAATCATTCTCTAATTCCAAAAATTCATCAAATGATGTGTCAAATTCTACTGCCATTAGCCATGAATCAACCAATACCTCATCAGAGTTAAGTTCATTAAATATTAAAAAGATGAAGCATTCCAATAAACTTCCACTTGCTAAGCTGAGCGAGTCTCCATTAGGTTTGGAAGCAGAAGTTTCTGCTATAAATGAGAATGACTCACAAGAATATGATATATTGACAAGTAATGAGATGCTGCCTAAGATTAATCACTGTGAAACTGCTACTGTACTCTCATCACTTGAAAATATAAATGTAGATACTGACTCGTCTAATGTGAAGGATCAGACAATGAGCCTGCAAATAGAAACTGATCAGAAAAGTGTCTCAGGTCACAAACTTTCAGATGCGACCAATGAAATAATGAATCGTAAATTAGACAAATTATCAAATTCCTCATCCAAAAGTATGGACTGCACAGAATCAACTAAGACTGTTGATTTGGACCATAGTAGCATTGACACTGTTGAACTGAATCTTGGTGCATCCACTTCTAATAAGAGGGTAATAAAAAAGAAAAATTGTGGAACCTCATCCAAAAAAAGGAAATTGGAGGTGACTATAGTTATTTTTGCTGCTTGCCTGTTTGTCTAAACTTGAAGATGATGGATGCTTAAAATTTAGTTTTTATCCTCATTGCAAGAACAATACGTACTCTGGTAGTCGATTTTATAATATTCATTCACATTCATTGTAGGCTGTTGGGCTCCATTCACTTTCATTTCATGGCTCCAAAATTCACTAAAAGTTTCTTCATTTTAGGTTATACTAACTAAATTCTCACTTTCTTTATTTTAATTCCCAACTTTGATCATCAGTCATTTCTGGAAAGCCTCAGCCTACTGAGTGATGATTCCTCATTCACATATTTTACATTTATATTTAATTTTGTGCATCCTGAAAAGCTAACAACAAATTTTTCTAACTACCACAGGATACTTTCATGGCTCTTCCTGCCTTAGCAACGTATCCAAGCCTGGGTCCCGGGCCCTCAGCCGTGCCCAAAACAGGGCGGAAGTATGTCGGGGCCCACATCTCGGCTGCTGGAGGGATCCACAATGTTTTCAACAACGCACGTGCTATCAACGCTAAAAGTTTTGCAATGTTTATGCGTAGCCAGAGACAGTGGATAGCTAAACCTTTTACTGACGATCACGTCGTTCGCTACAAGGAGCAAAGCAAAGTGAGTACCTCTGTGTCAATATTTTCTTAATTATTTATCCAGTAAACAATAGGATTTGTGTAGATCCTTATTCGTCTTTTAATTATAATGCATATTAGCATTTGTTATTGATGCCATTCAACCTTCTAAAGTATTAAAAGCCGAACTAGCTTTTTGTCACATTTTTCTGAAGCTACAGCGTCTGAAATTTCTAATAATCTAAAATAAAGATTGTGGCACATAAAAACATTTTCAGAGTTTTGCCAGCCACCTGATTCTGCCGCACGGTTCTTATCTCATGAACGTGGGCTCGAGTAAGCCAGACCTGCTGCAGAAGAGCCGTGATCTGCTGGTGGAGGAGCTGGGTCGCTGCCATCAGCTCGGTATACCGCACTTCAACTTCCATCCTGGTCAGTTGCACTGCTGCTGCTCCGGCTAGATAATTCTAGTCCGTTGGCATCTATTTGACTTACTTTATTGAATAATTTTATTTCAAAAGTTTAATAACTTCAAAGGCTTATTACAAACGTTACTACAGTTTCAACCTTCATTCATTCAAGATATTATTACTAGTAAAATTTTGGGCGTGACTTGGTAAATTCAGGTATTTTTTTCATGCCAGGCTCGTGTGTTGGTGGCTCAAGTCGAGCGGACTGTTGCCGCACCATCGCAGAGAGCATCAACATTGCTCACTCTAAAGTGCCCGATGTTATCGTCGTGCTCGAGAACATGTGCAAGCAGGTGAAATGTTGCTGCTCATTTGATCTTCCAATACTTGGAAACCTTCAGTAGTGAGTTCGAAGTATTACAAAGTTGTATTCTTTATTCAATCTATTGTAATTTTCTGTCAGGGCAACACCATTGGCGGGGATTTTCACGAATTGCGCCTCATCATCGAGCTCGTGGACGATCGTACACGCGTGGGCGTCTGTCTGGACACCTGCCACGCTCACAACGCTGGTGAACTATGCTAATTATGTTGCTTCAATTACAAGGCGATACTCGTATTCGAAACTCGGGACATAACATTACCAAGTAAAATTGTTTAAAAATGATTTCTAACTCTCTTCAGATGGAACTTTCCTGTGTTAAGCTTTTTATCTGAAAATAAATATATTAGTATACCTGATGCAAAATATGTCAGTAGAGACGCTCCTTAGACTGAACTGTTTACTTGCAGTTGTCATGATCAGTGATGGCTTGAGTGTTGCTGCGATGTTGAATTTAATGTATCACATTGACGCTACAGACCGAACATAACCTAATACCTAGCTGTCTAAGTGTGTGAATTTATTCATCTCAAGTGTAAATTTGTAGTTACTTGCGGTAGAAAGATTTATTTCACAATCAGAATCTCGGTTTACAGTGTAACAATAAACTTAAACGAGATTTGCTCTCAATTTGTTGGAGTTTGCTCTTATATTACAATCAAATCCTAATTTTCCAGGCTATGATTTGTCCACAGAAGACGGGTTCAATTCAATGATAAGCGATTTTGAGAAAATCATCGGGTTCCAATTCCTTCGTGGCTTGCACATCAATGACTCAAAAAGTAAGTCTAATTTCAAGATGAAACATGATACTAAGAAATACGCGGTTGTATTGTAAAAATCAAGTATTTTAAAACATCTCTGGAAATCATGTCCATTATCGGATTATCTAATTAACGGATCTGTAATTATTCACAAAGAGACATTAAATAGTAATAGTATTATTAATTCTAAATTGTTGTAAATTATTCATACAGACGAGGCTGGTGCTCACGTGGACCGTCACGAGTGCATAGGCAAAGGCCACATCGGCATCGAGGGAATGAAACGCATCATGAACTGCGACTTATTCAACGACCTGCCTCTCGTCCTAGAAACGCCTTACACAGACGACGCTGGGTATGCCAAGGAAATTCTCATGCTGGAAGGCCTAATCAACTCCAACAATTGTGAAGTCAAGCCCACTGCAGTCAAAGGAAAGCGAGGTCGGAAAAAGAAAGAGGTTCAAAAAGTCAAAGAGGAAAACCTCATGGAAGTAAATGTGCCAAAAGGGAAAAGGAAGAGAAGCAGTATCGATGAAACCAAGGAATTGCGGCAAAAAAAATCGGAGTCGTGTGAGAATAATGCAAAAAACCCAGTCAAGCAGGAGCCAGTTGAAGTTTCGGAGGCAAAATCTACCGCTCAGCGGGGCAAGAAAAGAAAATTCACCAAGGCAAATTAAGTAGTTCTCCATCATCTCAGCTCCATTGTTCAGGTGAAACAGTTGACTGGCAAAGGAGTCATTTTATTTGATTTTTTGTTCTGTTGAGTAATAGTGTGCCAAATTCTTAATTTTACGTTGGTATTGCCAAGACGAACTCAGTTTCGAGTTCAGAAGTAATAACTCACTATGCGCTCTAAAGGATTTTATTTGAAATGCTCGTGGCTAAGTACTTTTAATTCACTGATTTTTCTGTGACAGAAACTAAGCTCTATGAGGACATTATTTTCAACATTTGCCTTCATAAAACGAATTCCTGATGGACCGTATTTATTTTGTATTCGAACAGTATTGAAATTTTTCACTTTCCAAATTAGGTCAGACAAGGAAACGTTCAAAAAATAATGCCTATCGTAAGCATTCCTTTCAACTTTTTTTGTATGGGATGGAATATTGTTAGTAAATTCTCCATCAGTTGAAATGTTTCTTAATTTCCAATTATCGGATTATTTACTCAGGTTGAGAACTCAAAAATTTTTTTTTCGTTTATTGACAAACTAGTAAAATCACATCACTCATACCCAAGTATTAAAATTGACGGGAAGTAAATTCCTGGTAAACTGATTAACATTGCATTCGGCACTTAAATTTACCTCTAGTTACGTACTGTACAAGTGGATACCAGAAGCATAGGTTCACTTAGATAAGTCCAAGTCAGTTAACGCCATCACTTGCCGATTCGATTCAACGGGAATTCATCGATACATTGAACCCGTCAAAGACAATGTCAGGCAGCTGCAGCAGCCATACAGATGATTATTGACATCACATACAAAATTTTATTGTGTATCTTCTAAAATCGACAAATTATTTTATAACTCATCTCAATTTTACCCATCATCAGAATTGATTCTGATCAGGAAAATAGACCGAAAGATCTCGACGTAAATCTCATAATTATTATAATGTTGGTAAGTAAATGCCACCTGGATAATGTATTTCAAATTTTTCCGCTAAATGTAATAAGAACTAGAACGCGTCCTCATACGAGCATCCGAGCAAGAGTCACACAAGGCATGATATAAATGATAGCTCGAGCGCTGGAGTGAGATACTAGCGTTGCCTAGTCATAAGCTCGGTGTTCGCTAGCAAGTTCCATCACGGCAATAGCTTCAAAGCTTCCTATTTGGTCATAACATCCAAAGTTCGATGAATTGTTAAATAGCTGGTAACCGATCAGGTAGAAAATCGTTGACAATATTCTAACAATAATGATTTACTGATAGTTCCATAGAAAATTACCTTCCATCTCATTGAGGTACGAGGTCAGGTGATTAGCATAAGGAAGATGAGGTAGAAAGTGAAAGTAGAGGTTATACCGTCATAACAAACAGAAATCAAAATCTTCAGATATCTTTACGATGTACATGAAGATAGAACTAAAGAAAATAGAACAAACTACAGAAAATTATAATTGAATAAAAGGTAAAAATATTGAAGATGATAATTTACGACCGAAAAAAAAGGTTTGTGGTTTGTGTCCATTTCCATCGCGAAATTATAGAGAATAGCACCACTACAGAATAGAAACTTACCGATTCTCCATCAATCTAGCAAGTGACAATAATCGAAATAATGCACAAACATTAAATGTGAAATAAAATTAGATAAAGTTTACAACACAGTGTCGAAACCACGCTTCGTATAAATGAACACAAATCGAATTGTGGCATGATTTTTTGCAAAATAAATATTTTTAACGTAAAAACGCTCCTAAACATACGCAACGAAGATAATATATATAGGTACTGACAACACCATGACACGACGTTAGCGTTCCCTTAGAGCCAAATGCAAGCTCAAACACAAAACGATAAAAACTTTAGAAAACTGGAAGGCTAAATTACCACGTTTACATTCTTCAAACGAAAACAGAGGTAGGATTAAAATAAACACAAAGTTTTATTCTCAAACAAATAATAAAGGAGTGATGGAAAACGCCAATTTAAATCTACCTATGTCATGCACATTGTTTTGAGCTTGTGAACGGCCAAACAAATCTAACTTGTTATACCGAACATTTAATTTGAATATTTCTTTAAAACTCGCAAGATTAAGCTGTATACTTGTAATTTCTTCATATTTATTTATGCACGAAAACAAGCTAAAACGCACTCACTCGATTAGGTTTCTCAACCTTACAGTAGGGATACCTCGAACTATTTACCATAACAACTCCCGTATTTGCACATTACCAGAATGGACACCAACCAATAAAACACTGGCTGAGGTTTTCGTGATTAGTTGCTTGGGCGATCAAGAGATCAACTTGCTTAGCAACATCTAACGGTTCTTCCTGATTGAGGAAGTCTCGACCAGTTAATTTGTCTCGCACTCTGTTGACTATGGCAACAGCTTTTTTATTTAGAGCTTCTGGTTTGCCATTGAGCTGATTAGCTACGCCCACAGATCCTGGGATTGCAGCTCCAGAGCCAGTGGCACCGTCGCCTCCTTCAGGAGCACCGTCAACACCACCCGCGCTAGGGGCTACCATAGGACCTACAACTGCCGCACCGTCCGCAGGCCGTCGAGGCGGTGCCTGCTGTTGCTGCTGGTCGATCAGTCGCCAGTTCAAGAGTGGGTCATAAACGAAAGCTTCGAGCATCGCCATGACCGAGTCTTTGTTACGGCGCAGTAGCGACATGACGGACTCGCATGTCATGCGATATGTGCCGTCGATTCCTGTCACTCCCATCGCGTTCACCAACATGCGGGTGAGACGGAAAGGAATTTTTTCGGGGTATTTCTCGCGGGTCATGGCAACTTCAAAACAGTCACCGAAATCAATATGGATAATTTTACCAGACTTTTGGTCGAGCATAAGATTAGAAGGGTGTCGGTCTCCCAAGCCCAAGACATACCCAATCATGGACATGGCAGCCAAAGATCGCGTGTAATTCGTGCGACGGTCAAACCAAACTTCCGATGATGGGCTTTTCAGCCACAGGAGTTTAGCAAGGTCATCTCCTTGAGTGAGTTCTAGGGCATGTTCAAAGACCTCCACTTTTTGCATTGCTGTAAGGTGTTCAAGCGAGGGTGCCATCTTCATCATTATTCTGTGCTCTATTGTTATGAGTATTTTTTTCTTATCACGCCAGTCCTTGATGAGAACATGAAGCGTGTCACAATGTGGCAGCCACCCGATCAGGCCTGAGTTAGTGGATAGAGGCACCACAGCATACCTCTGTACTGTCAGATTTCGTCGGAAAGTTTCAGGATTGTTCACTAGGAAAGTGTTGACAAGACCGAATAGCTGCATGACTCGTTCGTCCTGTCTAAGATCTTCGTGGCCCTTCAAGAGGAACATAATATCGTGACCTGTGCTTGCTCGGATGCATAGTTTGCGTGGCCGCTGTTTTGTGGAGAAGACTTGAAGTGAAGGATGCACATAACTGATGCATATAAGAGGCGCGTTGGGAGCGTAGCTACCAGGGACTGCAATGTCCAAGTCCCGGCAAGTTAGTAAGCGAGGAGACACGGAGTGCAGTTCTAATGAAGTCAAAGTCGGAATTTGTCGACAAATGCGCTTGAAGACATTGTAGTACAGTTCCCATGCTTGGTTTAAATCCCGTACGTTGGAAGATCTTTGGAAGCGCAGGCACCAATCCTTTGCTTCTGCGAGATCTCTGCTGTAAGCCTGTCGATCAAGAAGCGTTTCAGTCTCTTAATTGCTATTCGTATCTATACGTTCGTTATATAAGAATAAATCTATGAAGTTTTTCTCTAAGTTTGGGCACAACATTAACAAAAATATGTTTTACCTGGTTGAAAGCCACTTCGTTTAATGTTTCAGGCTCTTTGTCCATCATTGAGTGCAGCGGCAGGAGCGTTCTTAGCATCGCCTGATCGTTGCGTTCACCAAAATAGAGGCGGCTGGCTTCCTCCAGTGCTTCGTGCCAGCGTTCGTGACGTAGGATAGCCACTCTTATCAGTTCTTCTGACACCTGCAAACAAAACAAGTTAACGAGTTTTATGACTAAATATATTTAATTGCTATTCGCGACCAACAATGACACAAATATTCCTCGCGAATAATAAGTAGAAAACTCATCATGTTTTCACAGTTATTCCTACTAGGCAAATTTGCATGCAATGGTGTCATCAAAGTAATTTCTCTGTTAGTGAGACATTTTCAACGTAACCCTTAATTAATTTAGAAACTATCGAGAAACTATAGAATATCTTAAATGAAAAGTTTGTAAGGCCTTCTATTGTACGTACAAGGGCTGCTTGGTTGACAAGCACAGACGAGTGTTCGCGCATCTTGTTGAGGAGCTTCTCAGCAGCGTTGCTGCGACACTTGTCTGAAGACTTCGCCGCAACCGTCAGAGGATATAATAACGCCTACAAGATAAAATACTCTGCTAAGAAAGATATATATTATGACCTTCTTCATAAGGATACAAATCCAATTCACTGGGCAAAGAAGACTAAAATCATAGGCTTAGGTGCCTAGTTTCTCAAGTTCACATTCATTATATGAAAAACACACACAAAAAGAAAATAATTCGGAAAGGTACGATTTTATAGTTGGAATTATTCAACCTTAAAATTTTGTTGAACTCAAAGCAGGCATTAATCACGTATTGTTATCCAATTTGACTGGCAATTTTAGGCGTGTATAAAGCGTAGACCTTTTCTTTTGTTCATTTCGGTATAGTGATCTTGGCAAAAGTCTTTAACGCTTACCTAGGGATTGTAAAATTCAACTTTCGTTGTCTGTTCCAACTGGCAAGGTCATAGTGAATCACTTGACAAGTACTGACAAGAGCGTAGATAGAAGTAAAATGTATTCAATTACAATGCATCGGAAGAAAAATATATTAGGAAAGAGTGAAATTTTAGGAACTAAATTGGATTGCCTGCGGTGTTTAAGTTTCAAGTTAAGGGTGCATTAGTGCAGTCATGTCAGAGGCAGCGCGTAAGGTCGAGTTGTAGTTGTGGAATGTAAACATCATGGAAGCCTGTGCCGACAAAGGAACACTAACACGGAGAAAGGTGTCTTCCGTTTCAATTAAAAAATATAGTATATTAAGACTACACTAGAGCAACGACGTGCTAGAGTACATGGATTCCGTTCAGCAACCATAACCAACCGGAGGATATTGGACCGGCGCCATAACAACCGTTCACAATCCGTATTACTGCCACTTCAGACGTCGCACACGCGACCACACACATGAATGGATCTTAGAAGTATATTGTTATCAGCAAGAGTCAACATCAGCACCGATTCTAGAACGGATCGTTCATGCCAGAGCTCCACAAGAAATAAATCAATTGACTGCTTCTATGAATCTTGAGTCTACTCTTCCAAACAGCAATATTTCTCAACATGTATTCGGGCTTACTTCACCCTTCATTTGCGAATAGAACGTGCCCCCTTGGTTACGAAGAGAACATTTTTCAAATGTAGCCACAAGGAAATGAAGCCAGCGTTGAAACCACGCAATCAAGAAAAATTCACGAACCGACAACAGCGGCATGCCAATATAGCAATAGGAAATTGAAACGTTTAATCAATACATTAATACGGTGCCCCATTTTTATTGTAATAGAGATTTTCAACTTTGGCTGTAGTTTTGCGCTACCAATGAGTTAATTTGACGTGCATTGTTCTTTGAGAAATGTACTCGTTCCCTAAATTAGGTAGCCAATGTTAATCTAGCAAATTAAGGAAATGGGAACGAACCTGCGGGTGTTGCTTGCCAAAGTCTGTGATGACCTGATGCACGAGCTGGCTTACAGCTGGTCGGGGGGTGTCGATGCGGGCAATCAGTTGCGGGATCATCTGCACATCGTCAAGTTATATCAACACTCTAACATTGGCAGGGTAGACGCATTTGAATTTAGTAAACAAATCGTGAATTGGCTATGAGGTGCACTAGATCCACGATAGCCTCCGAATTAACAGTCAGAAAGATGATCAAATTGAAAAAATAAAGTGAAATTAAACCTGGTGGAATACTTAGTTGAAAATCACATAGAAAATTACGAAATCATGATTAGGACCAATCTAAAGCTAGTTAGTTTGAAAGGCTTTGATTTTAGGTGATTCCAAATTAGCGTTTTCGCTCTGATGGTACATTGAAATTTTTTAATTCAAATAAAAAAATCAATTTTCAATTGAAAGCTCAAAATTTTCAATTGAAAGCTCAAAATTTTCAATTGAAAGTCGACGCTGTTTGAACATACTGATAGTACGAGAAAAATCCGGAAGGAAAACAGCTTTGTACACACAACTTTCAGAGTGTTAAAGGAAAATTAATCTATCAAAAAAAATTTGATCTACAGCAGAGATGGCGCCCATCTCTTTCAACACAAGAAAGAAAATACAAAACTAGTATACATAAAACACAAGACTATGCCTATTAAAATCTCGCGCATATAACTGTTGCTGCCAACATGTGCGGTGAAACATTGGAACAAACTTGGAGCCAAGTGTCGACGTGAAGAGTCTTGAGTCCCTCCTTGAGGACCTGCTCAACTGACGGGTTGTGGCCGTGCTGGAACCAAATGGTGAGGAGGCGAAGACAATCTTGCACGCTCGTGCTGCTTTCGCCAACTGCAATGCTTCTGATGAAGCCCTTCACTGCCTCACACGCGTACTCGCACAGGCGCTTCTGTAACTAACGTGGAAACAATATAAGTATAAACCTAAATCCCCAAATTAAAGGGCAAAGAATATATTAAATAATCAAACTGCTAATGAAATAATCCAAGTGTTTTCATAGAGTAAATAGTACATAAGATACAAAATCGTCTAGCTCTGAACCTTTCCAGAAACAAGGCACTTAGGACGAAGGAATTTATTTTAATAAGCAGAATTCATAACTTATTTCATGACAAAGGTAATAGACTAACTCGATTTATTTCCTGGCATATTCTGGCCAATTCATTGTCATCGTTCTCAGCGCTGTCGCCCCCAGGAGAAGTTTCTCCAACACCTGCTCCGCGAGCTGCATTGGTAGCAGCAACAGCTGCAGCTGCAGTTGATTTCACCTGCAGTTGCTCTAACTTCGTTTGCTGCATGAGCAAAGCTTGGAAGTTCGAGAAGGCATAAGCATGCCAAGCCTTATAGCAAGACTCGTTAGCGACCCTTGCGTGGTGGTTATACTTGGTGATGGTAGGTAAAGTCTCCTCGTTTACTCCGTGGATATCCTCATGCCACTCACCGAGTTTCAAGTACACTTTGGAAATGAGGATGCGCACAGATGCTTCGTTGTGAAGGTTCACGGCAGCTTGGTTGAGGTGAGTCACAAATGTCTGAAGTTTGGTGTAGGCTCTATGCTGCTGGTCAGGCAGAGAGTAGAGGTACTTGGCGTACTCGTAACTGGCGTTGGGGTACATGATAGGGAGTGGCTTCTCAGGGACAGCTTCAGGGTCATGACCCACGAGAGACACTAGCGTCTTCCTGACGAGTGAGTAGCGATTGGCCTTCCTGCACATTGCAGCGAAGTCCAGCCAAGGCCGGACATCGTCTTGAGGTTTCAGCACCAGGGATCTCACTAGCAAGATTTTATGCCAGTCATCTACGACACGTTGGTTGCTCTGAGAATAGAAACCAACATATCATAGACTTGGATAATGAACAATTTTAAACACACTTGAATATTACCTAACAATGATTCAACTATTCTAATAACTATGCTAATTGATCAAATTTTTGGTTGGGATAAAAGACTCAGTAAACCAAAAGATGAAAAAGACACCAATGTCATTACCAGTCCGGACTTTTGACTCTTTATCCTGATACGACATGAATTAACAATAAAAATAATTTGACAACTCCTATGTTGACTTGCACAGAAATGAAGCTCATCACAAGATTAAATGATAATATCGCGAAAATTCGATTCACAATTATAGGAAATATCTAAGAATAGTTAATTCATCCGAGATATCTAATAGCATCGCATTGACCAAACATTCACAATTTAATATCAGGCACAAACTGTAGAGAATGGTGATCAAACCAACGAATCATGAAAATTAAAAATAAAGGATACATAATACGACATTTACGAGTGGTCCGTAGTAGAACAACACGACCAGCGCCGAATGGACTTGATCCCGTTCTCAAATAACTAAGCTTCCAACAAATCTGGACTGTCGCACCATCGGCAGTAAGCTGTTCAAGTAAAAACATGAACTTTGAAACAGACCAACCAGGCTTCAGCACAGAAGTCGGGAAAAGTATGGCCCAGAATCGTCCGGCATCATACGAAATAATTTTACAACAATCAGTCGAAGCGAGCAGCAGCGTTCCAGCACTCGTTCTCTACACCAACCAGCCGCCAGTATTTATCCTATGCATCCCACGATCGAAGGACCACTCGTCAAAGCACGATTGATTTTGGAATCATACTTTACCATCTGGAACCTAACCTCAGATGCTGTTAGCTAAAAGTTACTAAATTTAAAGATGTCATATTCAATCCTACGGCCTGGTGGTGCAAGGCAGGTTTCATGCAACCCCCAATGAGAACTGGGCCGATCGATCGCATTACGTCGTGCGCAGGTGACAATTTGAGCGCTGGCAAGGTTATGAAGTTATGCTTCAATGAAACGTTTAGTAATGGACAGTCATTATGTACGAGGCTATTCTCTCCCGTGTTAAGTGGTGTAAAGCTCATAACATTTATAAAAAACTATGTGGTGGGCTGGTTACAGACGAAAGTCTTTATTCGCGACTAATGGGTGGTACGGAAAGAAGCTAAGCGTTGCATTCAGGGCTGATTAGTGGTCAAAATTGGTGGTGCACGGCTGCGCTTCCGCCATTTGTCATATTTATGAACAAATTTGAGATTCTTAGATATACTGTACATTCGAAACTGGAAATATTTGTTCACAATGCTGCACCGCACGGTTATAGACATGACGTGCTGAAGACATTATATACCTGGAGTCTCTGGTACCACATGTTCTTGATGGCACACCGTCTCTCCGGCACCAGGGAATACTGCTGTACCGTACAGTTATATACATCACGTGCAGGAGACATTATATACCTGGAGTCTCTGGTACCACATGTTCTTGATGGCACACCGTCTCTCCGGCACCAGGGAATACTGCGTCACCTCCTCGAGCTCGGCCAGCACCTGCACGGCGACCATGCTGCTGTAGGCGCGCTCGTAGCTCTCGCCCGACATCGCCGTTAGCTCCGCGTCGTGCAGGTCCCGGGCGAAGGTTATCAGCTGAGTGTATCAAATGATGCCATTAAGAAATATAGAGTATAAGAAAAGGTTAAAGTTTAGTTAGCGTATTATACAGAAAGGTTGGGAAATGAGCGTATCAAGCAAAGGTTATAGCTGAGTGTGTATTAAACGAAACGATTACAAAATTAGAGAGCATTGGAAAACAGTAACAGCTTAGTTAGGCTATCATACGGACAGGTAGGGAATAAGCGTATCAAGCGTAGGTTATCAGCTGAATCAGCATATCATACAAAAATACTTAAAAATTATGACGAAAAAACTGTTCAGCATTTAGATTTTTTCAAGAATAAATTCATTCCTAACAAAAATAAAACAATTTTCGTGATCTATGGGTGGTAGAATACGGCTGAAACCTACAATTGGTGACATCTTCTAGTGCGGACAGTAAGCAAGGTCAAGTATACAGTGTATACTACACACCAACATCCATGATAAGGACTAACCTGCTGAGCCTTATCACACATCCCTTGCTGCACAGCGAGCACAGCCCTGAAGAAGGCGCCAGTATGGGAGTCTGCCGGCACGTAAGCCACGGTTCGCTCCATCATCGTCCATTCCTCTGCCACCCACGCTGCTGACGTGGCCAGGCGCGACATTTGTGAGCGGTAGTGCTCCGAGAGCGACTGCAACAACACATTTCAGCTATAAATATTGGTTGAATCAAACAACATTAGCAGTTATGACTAAGCAACCCAATAAGCATTAAGACAATGGTTCTTCAGAAGTTCAATTAGCTGGATCCTGCAGCATGACGAGCTCGGAAACAATTGTTTACGTAAAAGAACTAATATAGAGCGATTTAAGTTATTACAAATATAAAATATGAGTCAAGGTCCAAAATTGGCCGATGAAACAATGAACATTTTCAGCGCGTGTCGCCTAAAACCGAAATGTGGCGGCCCATTCTAGGCTCCCGTACGCGATCGTCTGTATACACACACACTGAGTACTGGCTTTGAGTCTGGTCAGAATTCTTCAATAACGGGCCGATATGATGCTATGTCTGAGCATTTCTGCGCTTGTATGATCTGGGTAGTTTAGTTATGCATCATTGTAGCACATAACATAGCTCATTGTAGGAAGGGAATGAACCAAAGATAATTAATCATTTACCGGTAGATGAAATCAAAACTCGAGCGTGGAACAGAATAGATGGCTACACGAATAATCTTGAGCAGTGGATTATCTTGTAGTCAATGATTTGGATAAAATTTGAAGTGCGTGTTATCAAGTAGTCGTGACGGTGCAGTACTACTGATTCAAACGAAATATTATATAGAATTGTGACACTCACATTCACACACTCAGGGTCCCCAATGAAGTTCCACCAGCGGCAGGTCGTCTCGTACAACTCGCCCCTGCAGAGAAGTTTATTGTTAATTAAACAAACAGTATATATAAATCTAAATCATCATAAAAAAAGCATTCTTAGACATATAGTATGAAATGAAACTAATAAGTTTCAATACAAGCAAGTAAGTAAACTATTTACCATTCTCCAAGAGCCTCCATGCATCGCATTTTGCCGAGCGCGAGCTCGAACTGTTCAGGAGTTTTCTCGAGCTGGGCGTTGTAGAGGTCGAGCGCCTGCTGCCAGTCGTGGACCTTCTCGAACCAGCGCTCCTCCAAGTGCATGTCTGTGCTGTTGTGTTTGCGTGCGAACTCCATCAAGCCTGTACACAGCCATACATTGTATGCCATTTATTAGATGCATTATGTACATTCAGTGTATAATGGTCATTTATAGTTTCATTTATACTCCTGTTAATATTATCACGCACGAAGTTATTTTATACTCCAACGTTTAATTATAAATACATCTAAACTGTTAATGATAAATTTTATCCACTCAACGACGACTTTTACGAAAATAAAATGAAACATAGAATCAAGATTGAAAACAACAAGAACAAAGTTTTCACGGGAAATTGATCGAAAAGTGTGGAACACACCGAAAAAACAAATTAAAAAAATAACCTGTTGCAGCCTCGGTTTGCCCGAGATTATTATTGATGGAAATGAGATTCTGGAGCACGTCGGGTGACGGGCTCTTGTGGAACTGTTCCTCTTTGTAGTGGAGAGCCTTGGCGTAGGCCCGGCAGTCCATTGCCTTGTTCCCCAACAATGATGCATCTACAGGCAAGCCTCCCTAAGAACAAAAATCTTTAAAGAACACACTATTTTTGAAGGCTAAAGTATTGGAGGAACGATAGATTCATTATTACTTCAAATTACAATGAAGTTTACTTAATCGCGATAATCACAGGCTACAGATGACAAATAAAACACAAACCTTGTCACTGTGCTCCATAAACTCGGTGAGGTTGAGTAAGGCTTGTGTGACCTCAGGAATGTCTTGCGCCCTGAGTGCGTGCTGCAGGGAGCTCAGGAAGTCGTCTTGTTGGCTCTCGTTCATCTCGCTCCAGGCCGCCATGAAGGAAACGTTGAACAGGTCACGGGCCACTTGCGGGTAGCCCGAAGAAACTCGGAACACAGCTCTGCGGATCAGAACAACGTCATACCAGCACTCCATTGCTCAATGAAATTTATTAGACAAGAAGTAGAGCTGCATTAAAATATTGTGGTGATAGAGGGTGACAGATGTTTATATCTGTGCATCAAGGATCGTTTTAAAATAGACTTGTTAATGCTCTTACAAATATGGAATATCAAATAATTTTTAACGTTCATTAACTGACTGTGATGTAATTTTATAACCTTAATTACCGTAATTCATAAATAAAACATATAACAAGAAACTGAAAGTCTCATGCATGACAACTCATATTTATTTCTTATTTATTTAATGTTTCTTAGCCATACATTAAATTTTAGAGAGATTTTGTTAAAGGAAGAAAAAAACCACATGCGGGTAGGTTGAACTCGAAATGCGACATAAGTTCAGCAACAAGACTCCAGTAGTGCTGACAAATTCATGATCATGGAGGCATAAAACTTACTTGAGGGCACTGCTGGGCGAAGCCTTCAGAAGGTTCATGCCAATGCCCAGCAGCCACTGCATCCATTCTTCCTTGCCCGTGTGGCGTTGAAACTCCCATGACTTCACCAACTCAGCCTTATCGAAAAATTGTGTATTAGCAACGAAGAAAAAATATCTTCCGACTCCAAGCATGGAGTAATAAGCTCAATTCACTAATAATAAATAATACTTAAAAATAACTGACAATGATCCAGGATTAGTTCTACCGACATTCAGTAAGATCGACGTTCAATTACAGTGGAGACGTCAAATGAGAACGTAACACAGTGATTAAATTCAGCTTGACCTAGACTTCGCTTAGTGTTAAGTCTGCCGTAGTCGCAGATCATCAAATCAATAGCGAGTCGATAAAGATTATTGATATAACTATTGCTTCTTGCTGTACTAAAATTGTTAAGGGAGCAAGAAGATACTTCGTATTTTGTACACGTTCACGTCTACGGTAGTTTTCCATGTTTAATATTAAGAGGTTTACTCAACTACACAATAGTAAACAATAATTTCCGTCAAGAGAGTGAATAAAATTTTAGAATAGCCAGAATAAAAAATAATAAAGTTTCGAAATGAGGCGGTAGTAGTAAGGGAGAGGTTTCTAGCGCTTCAGATCAGAAATAAGGCGGAAATACAAGGCAATAGTCACCCAGACGGAGATGTTGCTGTACGAGACGTTGGCACCCGAGGAGGACGTGCCCTGTCTGGTCTCTGAGGTCGAGGGGTTAGGCACGTCGTACAGGCTGTGGTTGGGCTTCTCGCCGCCACGCTGGAATGTCGCAGCGGCTTTCTCTTCTTCACTGATGGCGTAACCCTGAACACAATATTGTCATTAGTACAATAAATGATTCACTGATATCCCCCATGTGGATGTCAACTGCCAGCGACTGTATGGTCGTGATGCTGGCTGACCGAACCTTCAAATAAACATTAATGTTACCCCAAACCCTAAGGTGATAATGAACAAAGCGCTCACAAATGTTGCTCGCACGAACGATTATGACAGCGAGCATGAATGTTAGAGAGGCCATCGAATAAGCGACCATCATTAATGAGGTTATCTTAGGTATGATGTCATTAAAACAATAAAGCATCTTTTTTCATAATAAAAGCATAAAGCATAGACAAAACATATAGCATCTCGATTTAACATAACATTTACGGATGTGTATCGTTTCTACTATTGAACGCAGGGCAACATAAAATATTAAATATAGAGCACGTCTATTGAATTGAAGAAGATTACTTAATTATTAACAAAATAAAGAGCAGTTATCAATTCAGGAATAAAGAGGTATACAAGATCAGGTCGGAATATCACCTTAAGAGGCACGTCAGGGTTGTCGAAGAGCACCACGATGGGTGGCAGGAGCGCGTAGATGAACTCCTCCAGATTAACGCCAAACTTGCTCAACGCCTGCAGCAGCTGTAGGGACGTTCATGCGTGCAATACACACTTCAATTATTCACCAATAAAAGAATTTTTTTATAAGACAAAGATGACCCAGCATTACTCGCAGTTATATTCAACTATATAAATACACAATCATACATTTTTTTTATAAAAATATCATACATTTTTAGTGCCATAGCTAGGCAGAATTTCTTCATTGATGCAGGATTTGTTGAAGAACACGGAATAATGCTTGTAATCATTATTACACCCTTCCTATTATTATTATTATATTCATTTCATCTTATCCACATGATTACAGAAAAAGTAATGCTTACACTCTTGGTGACCGGCCTCTCCTTGGAGTCATCCATGAGCGACTTGATGATGAGAGGAATGATGTCCTTAAGATGGGCCTTAAATTCGGCGCCCATAGCCACAGCGACGCTCTTCACCACCATGATCAGGGGCTCGGCCAGCTCAGGGCTCAGGTCGCTCTTCCAGTACAGCTAAGCATGCATATAGCAGGAGATGTGTTACGTATCATGAGAACTCAATCAATGTTATTAGAACTCAATCAATCAAATTAGATAATATTCTACAAACTAATAATATTAAAGACGTCAGTACCGAGCAATATAAGAAGGCTCTAATAATGTAATACCTACTTCATGAATTAGATAATATTCAATAAACTAATAATATTCAAGAAGTCAGCACTGAGCAGTATGAGAAGGTTCTAATAAAGTTATACTTCATGAATTAAATTATATTGTCATGATAGGAGTTAATGTTACTGAGCTCACCTTAATAACTTGAACAATGTCGTCGACGTAGTTGCGTATGTGTTGTCCTACGATCTCAATGAAGGATGCCAGACGTAGGAGGAAATTGCCGCGGTAATTCTGATCACAATTTCGCACCACCTGCAAGGAAGCCACAGCTGTCAGGATGTCCACTGTCACCACCCACACTTACAGTAGCATTTATCACGTTACCTTCCGTGACGTCATTGTTATAAGCCTATATAAGCTCCTAGAGCATCCCCTGAGGCAGTCGCAGACCAACATCTCTTAGCTGCACTACGCTGTTAGAAAAATTACGGTTAACGGTATTACCGGCGTTTCAGTGGCTGGTCGGCACGTGAAAAGAAACACCGTGTCGCCGTTTTTATTCTAATTTAACACTGTAAATCCGTAAAACATCTGACAAAAACGGCGAAACAGTTCATTTTCACGGGGCGACCGGCCACTAGAATGCCAGTGGGACAGTTTTTTCACCGTTTTTTTCCTAACAGTGTACCAGCCAGTCTCTAGCATCTATTCGCATATACTTAAGACGACTCCGACAATCGTGTCTAACGTGATACTGTCGATATTGCTATCTGATCAATTCCTGTATCAATACCTCACCGTGTCTAACTTTAAATAAGTACTACCTTAGAGTTCCACTCTTTTTATTCTTCCTTATTGTATTTTACGGACAATAATAAGGAACTATAGTATCTCAGCGATAATCTTAAGTTCATCTAAACAAAACATTAATCAGCGAAGGTCATAGAAAAGACTTCGTTGATATTTGTTCCTGAACGCCTCCGGATACGGCAATGTAGCAGCAAGCATGGCTATTGTACGACATCAGTTCGAAGGCATGGTTATAAAATAAATAGGTAATGGTAACGACATTGATAAATTTATCTCAACGTCTTCAGGAACGTTGGTTGACAATAGAATTAGATAGGCTGCATGTTTGAACATTATTTTATCAAGTTACAAATTATGTTGACAACCACAAAGTCTTAGTGAAATCGTTCTCACCTGTAGCAGTGACGGCACTACAAGGCTCAGGAAAGGAACGCCTTTGGCACCCAAGGTGAAATACGTGAAGTTAATTGCCTGAAAAACAAGAAAAAGTTTAAAATTAAAAAATCCACCGGGAAAACATCTATATCAAGCAGCATTACAGGAGGTGGAGGGAATAGCAATAGTGATGGAGCCGGCTGGACATTGTCACAAAGCTGTATAATTTCCCAGAGTCGCTTCAAGAATCTGCAAGTAAGTCCAGGTAAGTGTAATGTAAGAGTAAAAGAGTAAGAGTAAAGAAGTCCGCATTAGAAATATGGTGTAACGAATGAGCAGTCACGCATGACAGCTAACTTGGCTGAAAAGTAAGAGTGTGGAGCAGTACATCTTGTCTATCAGAGCCTTGGTACATCATTGAATTATTCTTCTACTGAACACTTCGAAGGAGCAACTTCGTCATTACTAGTATGCTCTGAGCCTGAAAGGGTTGAGAACTTGCAATACTCTTATACTTGACGTTATTAATATGCCTATCGAACTATTACCATTAGCTTCAAGTTTAATGGTTTTGAATCCTTTCTTACAGTAATGTCAAAAATCAGAAGAAATAAATATTACGGTACTTTATTCCAGTAAAACAAGCACTAAATTTTGTATATGTGGTACAGTTTGAAGCTGTGGAGGCCACATCTGTCGTTTGTTAGTACTGAAAAATGTCATTTATAAACTAACCTGAAGCCAAAAAGGACGAGCCACAATAACAGGATAACAGACAGAAGAATTAAATCTCTAAAGGGCAACCCAATAAATATAACAACAGCCATGACCACACTCGCCATAAAATACAGTAAAAATAGCAAATCAACTGGACCAGACCACATCAATATACTCCATCTCAAACACCTGGGCCCCACAGCAATTACATACCTCACTCAAATTTACAATATTGCAATAAACTCCAACACAATACCCCATACCTGGAAGCTAGCCAAGATAATTCCAATACCCAAACCTGGCAAAGACACTAACATGGGGTCATCTTATCGACCAATTTCTCTTCTAAGTCCAATAGCCAAAACACTGGAAAAAATTATCCTTGCCACAATCTCATCTCATCTCCCTAACATTGAACACCAACATAGCTTCAAACAACACCATTCTACCATTACAGCACTCCAACATATCACAGAACACATAGCCACAGGTTTCAATCAAAAACGCCCGCCACTTCGAACAATAGCTGTAGCATTAGACATGAGCAAAGCATTTGATAAAATCATATCACCCACGCAAATGAACAAACTCCAAACAGTCCAGAACGCAGCACTCAGGATAGCTACAGGCTGTACCGCAGACACCAACATCCACCACCTTCACCAAGAAACCAAACTCCTACCCCTAACACAACACCTCAAACTTCACGCCTCACAACTCAGACAGAAAGCACAATACCTAACCCACCCACTACATACCCTCACCCTTCAGCCGCACCCACACCGCCTCATGAAACAAACCATTTTCCACAAGACAGGTTTCACCACCAACATAGATACTCCGCCTGCACAAGCTACACAGGACACAATCAAACAAAATCTCAAAACAATCCACACTACAATTACAGAAAACTATCTTGCAACCCACCCTCACAATAAAATTTTAAACATGCCCGCACCACAGATTCACCCATCTAAAATCAACCTACCTAGACCTGCACGCAGGAACCTTGCCCAACTTCGCACAAATAAATCACCGCTACTTCTCTCATATCTAAATAAAATAGACCCTGCCACACACCCTTCTCCACTTTGCCCACTCTGTCTGTCCAACACGCACGACACCATTCATCTTTTCTCCTGCCCTGAAATGCCCACATCCCTGTCGATGGGTGACCTTTAGGCGGACCCCGTAAACGCTGCAGGGCTGCTGGCCCGCTGGGGCGACCGACTTGGCTGGGTCCAGAACTGGGTCTAGGCCCCGCCTCGCGCCATGAAGCGAGGCGGGGAGGGTCAACAACAACAACACAACACGAGCCCACAATCAAATACGAGTTGCAGTCAATTCTACAGTAAATACTAATTTTATTTTTAGGCAATTATGTTAAATGGAAAGATATTAGGGTCTTTGCAGGAGTGATAATATAAATTTAAATCTGTTTGCATGAGCTCCAGAAAATGGTTTCTATTTTGCCCAACAGCGCCTCAGAGAAGGAATCCAAAACGAGATGATGTTTTCGTGCATAAACATTGGCCGTGACAAGCACTCAGCAAGCGACTGAGGCTCCATTGACAGGAATATTGCTAAGAGCACACCAGGGTCTGGGGTGAATACTACGCAGGAATATTGCTAAGAGCGCACCAGGGTCTGGGGTGAATACTATGCAGGAATACTGCTAGGAGCGCTCCAGGGTCTGGGATGAATACTTTGCACTGCTACACACAAACCTTGGAGACTTCCTCGTGGTACTGAGCGAGGCTAGGCTCCCTCAGCATCCTGAGCATTGCTGCTACAGAGCAGGCAGCGTAGTACTCTTCCATGGAGTTATAGTTCTGGTTGACGAGCATCTCGTTGGGTCCCGTCGCCCCCAGTACCAGCGGGCCTGCACCAGATCACTCAAATCACTTCATTTGAATCAATTTTATATGAAATAAATATGAAACTAAGGTATCGCCGATTCAAGTAAGAACATCCATGATGTACAGATAATAAACAAGCTCCATTCATATTGAACAACACGGTTTGTTAGTGAGATAATCAGGGAAAATACTTCCATGTTACTTGCCCGTATCAATTAATATTTCAACAAGTTACTGACGTGGCTTGGAGGTAACAGGTTCTTGTGTAAAAGAGAGATGATTGCTTTCATTTAAAAGTCGGTCATACAAATTGTAATTCTTTGCGATGAACATCATCTAATTATAAAGAGTATAAATTAGTTATTATTGCGAAAAAATTTGACACTGTTAAATCAATACCATACCCAGTATAGGCTTTATATAAATGGAGCTAGACGCATTTTTGTATAGCACTGAAACACATAAATGGGAATAAACAGGCATCAATAAGTGGAATAAACCTGCACATAAATAAGTGGAGGACATAATGTCAATGGAAGAGATTCAAACACCTACAGAGAAGCACAAGTGTAAGCAATAGTATCACTGTACGACACTTATTTCTGTACCTACTGCATATAGAATTCTTATGAAGCTAGGATATGAAGCTAGGATATGAAGCTAGGACATGAAGCTAGGATATGAAGCTAGGACATGAAGCTAGGACATGAAGCTAGGACATGAAGCCAGGATATGAAGCTAGGACATGAAGCTAGGACATGAAGCCAGGACATGAAGCTAGGACATGAAGCTAGGACATGAAGCTAGGACATGAAGCTAGGACATGAAGCTAGGACATGAAGCTAGGA